GGACGTGTCTGGTCTGCGCCCTCAGGCGTGCTCCCGGTGTGCCCGCCGCCTCGGCGTGCCGCCCGAGGCCTGACTCTCTTAGCCCCGTGCTGGTGGAGCTGTGGGGGAGCTGCGCTTTGGGGTCTGTCCCCAGAGCTGTGGGGGAGCTGCGGTTTGGGGTCCTTCCCCCGAGGTTTCGGGGCAGCTGCTTCCCCGCCGTGGTGAGGAGGTAATGTCTGGTACCAGGCAGGGCTGGAAACTGTTGGGTTGTGAAATTGAAGGTCTCGGGTTTCGTAGATGACAGGATGTTACATGTGCTGGGTGTAGAAAATGTGCTAAGAGATACTTCCTGCCTGCTCTGTGTAACTCCGTAGTTTTTGGAATAGATTTGCTCTGCTTGTGGAGTCCGTTGGAGCTGACAGGTCCTGGGCCTGTTTGAATATGAGCAAAGCCAGTCAGAAACTTCTAACGAGAGAACTTGGGTTTACTGCTGATGAGTTTCCTATTTCTTCATTACTTTCAGCTTTTGGCTGATACAGTGCTGAAAGCAGAGTTGAGTATAGCAGCCTGTCGGTGCTTGGCTAATCAAAATCAGCTTAAAGCTAATAGTAAAGAGTATCTTTGTTGTTACAGGAAGGCAATTTTAAGGCTGAACGTGGCTGTGATGCACATCTGGTTGATGAAGGAGGAGTTGCTTTTTTGTAGTTGCTCTGCAGGATTAGCTGGACAGAAACGTAAGTGTCTGTTGTGTGTTCTGAGACCAGTATTTTCATGTTCTGGGTGAGGTTTATTGGTTGGGTGGTTTTGGTTTTGTTTGTTTTTTTTTTCTACTGTCTAAAAGGTAAATAAGTTGTAGCACTTGAGTAAGACATCTCTTTTATTTAAGATGAAAAACGTGAAAGAAAAAGCAAGCGCAGATGATGTGGAAGTTTGGGATTTTCTCAAGAAGAAGAAGAAGAAAAAACGCAGAGAGCACAGTAAGAAACATGAAAATTCTGAAGAAGAAAATACAGAAAATGTAGAGGTTGGCTGTGCTTCTCCACAGCTCTTTGAAGATGAAGCAGCACAGAGTGGTGAAGGCTATAAAAAGAAGAAAAAAAAAGCCAAACCCAAGGGGAAGCAGCAGTCTTTGATAGATGATTTTTGTGTAAGACTGGAACCTGAAGTCAGTGATGAAACTGAAGTGAATGCTTCCAAAAAGAAAAAGAAGAAAAAGAAGTGGAAGTTTAAGGAGAGCACAGATGAGCAGAGTGATGTCACTTGTGTGGCAGTAAATCACCATGACACTGATAGATATCAGGAGGTCACCACTGACTATGTTCATGTAAAACAACCTGCTAAGAAGAAAAGAAAAGTAAAATTGCCTGAAGAGGATGAGGTAGCTGAGCTGTCTGCCTCAGAAACACAGGATAAAAATGACAATAAAAGGTTGAAAAAGAAGAAGAGGAGGAGGAGAAGCAGTAGTACCCAAGACAGGCAAGAAGACAGAGATGTGACCGTTGATGAATCTCTGTTGTCCTCTCCAGAACAAAAGGGGCAGTGCCAAGACAAAGGGTTGCCATCCCCAACAGCAGAGGCTGTGGCAGTGCCCCAGCAATGCCACCAGGATGGGGATGGTGATGCTTCTGTCAGGAGTCAGTCTACCAAGGTACCTGCTAAACTTTCTAAGTCCACTAAAGCAGCTGATCCACCTCCTCAGAAAACTCAACCACGTGCTAGAAAGGGACCAAAGAGCAGCGTTTTTGTCCTAGAAGAAAGCTCTTCAGACTCTGAGGCAGGGTAAGTTTTGGTTGGGGTTGCAGTTTTGTGTTTCTCTTTTCATTTCCCTCTCCCCCTAGATATGTTCCTGTCATGATATTTGGGTCGTAGAGTTTTCTTCAGTCTGTCTTGGATGTATTCTTAAAAACGACTTCAGAAACCTTTACAGTCTGTGGGGGTGTTGGTGAGACCTGTTTTAAGAGCTTATCTTGTGAAGGTAAAATGAAAATTGACACTGCCATTGCATTCACATCTAGTGAAAACAAAAAGAGGCAGGAAAGGGATTTTGTTTGTTAAATCTGGTATTTCTAGTGAACATGTGTGTTTTTACCAAGCAGCTAGTAAGGTCAACTAAGGAATTTCATGTTCTGTGCAAACAAATGCTCATGTAAGTAGCTCTTGGTGCTTTTACATGTTGGAAATACAAAGGGTTGGGTGTGGGGGGTATTCCTTGTTCTTTAATTAACTAACACATTCATATTTTTTAAGGGTAGAGATACTAACAAAATCTCTGTTTTGGAGCACCAGTGGTGTGTTTTATTTTATGTTTTTTTTTTATTATTTTTCCCCCCTGATATCAGGCAATCAGAACCCTCAGTATCAAAAATAAAGGAGGAACAGAACAGTTCCTGCACTAAAAGGGGAGCCTCTGATGAACTTAGGCAGGATGATGAAGAAGACTTGGACCAGAGCATGTGTTCAGTGGTGGATTTGGATACTGCAAGACAAGAATTGGAAGAGTTTATTCCTCATGTGAAGAGTATATCAGATGCTTCAATCAGGAAGATGGCTGGAAGAGACCTGTCCAGGTTTAAAGAGTTTAAAAAACAAGGTGAGCTCTCCAAGGTATTGCTGCAGTGAGGAAGGGCTGTGCAGATGTGCTAGCATTTTGACAGAGGGAAAGTAGTTTTTGTATCATGTCTGTCACATCTGTTGTCTCTGGTTCCCTTCATGCCAATGGATGTATTTTCTGTTTCTCTGCCTTGGAGCATAAACTTCCTCAATGATAAATTATGGTCCAATGCCTAAGTGTAAATTGCCTGTTCCCAGCTCTTTTCCCCTTTTTTTTTCCCCTTTTCCCCTTTTTTTTTCCCCTTTTCCCCTTTTTTTTTCCCCTTTTCCCCTTTTTTTTTCCCCTTTTCCCCTTTTTTTTTCCCCTTTTCCCCTTTTTTTTTCCCCTTTTCCCCTTTTTTTTTCCCCTTTTCCCCTTTTTTTTTCCCCTTTTCCCCTTTTTTTTTCCCCTTTTCCCCTTTTTTTTTCCCCTTTTCCCCTTTTTTTTTCCCCTTTTCCCCTTTTTTTTTTCCCCTTTTCCCCTTTTTTTTCCCCTTTTCCCCTTTTTTTTCCCCTTTTCCCCTTTTTTTTCCCCTTTTCCCTTTTTTTTTAACCTTTGAATCTGTTGACCTTTGCTAAAACCAAATGCTGTCTACAAGAGAAGCTACTTGAGCTTTGTTATCTTTTTTTTTTTTTTAAAATAAAACTTTCTGTATATTTTAGGTGTTGCAATCAAGTTTGGCAGATTTTCCCAGGAGGAAAATAATAGAATCTGGAAAAATCTTGAAGAGTTCTTACAGATTACTGGAATAGACAATGCTGAAAAACTCCTGTTTACCACAAGGTATCCAGAAGATAAAGAAACTATCCAACGCCTAAAAGCAGAATATCATTTCTGTGAAAAACTTTGTAAGTGTTTTAAGTTCCCTGTAAAACAGCTGAATGTTACATTCCACAACCTGGTGATATCATGATGTATGTTCTGAAATAATTTAAATTGAAAAGCACTGATGTTGCTAAAAAAAAGGAGCATGCTACTGAGACTGTGTGGTTGATAATCCCTATGAGATTCTTACTCTCTTTTCTCAGGTGTGAAGACTTTAGAGATTAATATATTATGACCAGTAGCACTTAAGCCATAAAACTCAAATGCATGTCTGAAAGTCTTTTAAGCTGTGTTGCTGGGCTGTAATTAAGCATAGTGACTTAGTAATAGGAAGTGTAATTAAATCCTGTCTGAAATTGTCAACTGTTCTGAGAGCACATAACTAGGTGCAAGTTTAGGACTGAGTTAGGGTAGAAACTGATAGAAATTAGGTTGTCAGCCAAAGCAGTTAGTTGTTCAAGACCTGAGGAAAACAAAGCTCTTATGGCTAAGATTCTGTCTGGAGGAGCTTCTCTCTCCCTGCTTCCTCTCTTCCTCTCTACTCATTGTCTTGGGCTTTTCTTGGCTAGAAAACATTCACACTTCAAATGGGAAATCATTTTTTATAATCATGCTTATCTTGGAATATCTCTGAAGCATCTGCTCAGTGCACTTTCTCCCTGCCTTTCTGTTCTATTCTTGTTCTGCTTTGTTAGCACAGGCAAGACAGATTAAATGATGACCTGTAATGGATTTGGCTACTGTCATTTAAGGATCATCAAGGCTACAGATTTGTTCTTGATTTCACCACACAATCATTTCCCTTCTAGCTGAGGGCATACCACGACCCTGGAGGCTGATATATTATCGAGCAAGGAAGATGTCTGACTCAAATAATTATAAAGGGAGGTAAGTGAGTAATTTGAAAGAGTTTCTGAATGCTTAGATCAGTCTCTGGTGTTTATTTGTACATTAAAAATGGTTATAAATGAAAAAATCTCTCCTATGTGTGCCAGTTACTGTGATGTGACAGATCATTTTTCCAGGCCCTTACCAGTTCCTCTGTTCTGAAGTATGATCTGAAGTGGTCGTGATGAGTAACAGTGAAACAACTGTAAAGATGACTCTGTTAAGATACTGGAAGGGTTTGAATTTAGAGCTGAAGCTGTGCCTGTTTCCTCAACTAGGTATACAGATGAAGAAAAAGAAAAACTGAAGAAGTATCATGCAATGCATGGCAATGACTGGAAGAAGATTTCAGAGATGATGTCCCGTTCTAACCTCTCAGTAGCTAGGAAATACTCTGAAATCAAGTCAGGTATGTAATTTTAAGAAAACTAATTCATTCTGTGTATTGTGATTTGAGAAGTTATTTTAACCATATTCTATGTGCCCTAAACTTTAGGGAAAAAAATCACTAGAGTGGATTATTTGCCTTATCTGCCTACAATGATACTTGGTCCTTGCTTTTGCTGCTGCCCAAGGTCCCACAAGGTAGCATAGCTTGAGCTGGCTGTCATCCAGGCCTCCAACAAGGAGCAAATGCAGCTCTTTATTAAATGGAACAAACATCTAGATAGATGCTTTCAGGGGTGGGCTGGAGGAATTGAGTTTTAAAAGACAGAAACTAGAGATCAGTGCTATTCTTCAGTTATTAGGCTGAAGTCCTCTCTCAAGTCTGGAATGCAGAAGAGTTTCTAGGAAGCATGTTAAGAAGCTGGTCCTGTAAATAAGAATAATGCAAAGTGAAGCATTTGGTCTTTTGCCTTTTTTCCCTAATAATTCATTACAAATTATACCTTAACCTTATTTTTCAATTTCAGGTGCTAATTATGGTCCTTGGACAACGGAGGAGACACGGAAGTTAATGTGTGCAGTGAAGGAGGCCATTAGTAAAAGAATGGAAACAGAAGATGCAGATTCTCCTTCCTCTTTGGAAAAGTCAGACAGAGATCTCTTGATAGACCGTGAGAAACTGTACCAGAAACTGCCATGGACTGAGATTGGAGACAAAGTGGGGACTCGCTACTGGAGGCAATGCAAACAGAAGTGGTAAGGTTTGAGATGGTAAATTGGGACAAGCAAAACTGAGGTGGTAAGTTGTGTTCTGGGAAGCATTTATTCTGCAAAACTATTTTTAGCATGATGATTGCTTGGTAAGGTAGGTAATAAATAGGTTGCAGACTGCAGAAGAGGGATGGTGAATGTCTGAGACAACTAACTTTCTGCTAGCTTTTTAAGTTTTCTTGCTGTGATAGTGAAGCCTGATTTCTGCTTCCCTGTGGCCACAGTGGCATCTTGAAGACACTTCCTTTTGGTGCTTGGAATTTCTTGAAATGATAGAAGCTTTTTTTTTGTGTGTTTTCAAAGGCTTTCAATTTTAACCAGCAAGATGACCAAAGGGCAGCAGTTGTATAGGGGGACCAAAGGATTGCAGGCCAAGATCAATCTTATTAAAAGGTATGGTTCAGAGGTACTGGAATTTTTTTCTATGTCTTACAGTTCTGGGTTGTGTTTATAAAAGCTTGCAGGGTGAGGACTGCATGCCTGCAGTTTCAGACAGGTCACAGCCACTCTTTCTTTGGATAAAAGTCCTGTGACTTCTGATGGGGGGAGCTGTGAGCATTATTGAATTACTTCAGTTCTGTCCACAAACTATTCCTGTGTTATATTCACAGGTTGTACGAAATGAAAGTGGAGGATCCTAATGAAGTAAACTGGGAAGAACTCAGTAATACTGTTGGGTAAATATGTTTTTCCTCTTTTGTGGTTACAAAGGATAGCTGAAGCAGATGGTCTTAAAAATCCCACAAAGGAGTCAAAGTTCTTGGATCTCTGCAACTAGAAGAAATGTCTTTTAGTTTGGTAACATCCAGCTGTATATCCTTGCCCAGAACTGAGCAATAAGGCAGGACTGTAAGCTCTGAAACTTCAGCTACTTGAGGCAACCCTTAGTGTATTCCTTGCACATTTATGTACTAGAACCCTGTTATGTAGTCTGTGACAAAGTCTTTGATAAGAGACTTTTCCAGGAGTTAATCAACACATGGGGGCAGAGGGGTGCTGGTAGGAATGTGTAATCCAGTGCAGCAGACTTCTTCCAAACAAAGTGTTGGATGTGAAATGACTGATGCTGCCAACACCAGACTCCCTCTATGGCACATTTTTTTTCTTTTCCCACATACTTTCATTTACAATTTATTTTCGCTAAACACACAGTACCCATGGATGATGGCATGATTTGGGATCTTACCTCCAAGGGGATTTGCTGTCTTGTAAAACTGTGTTAATTAGGATTTGAAAGACATTCTTTCTACCTACAGATATTATGTGGCACTGCTCTTGAATGGATAACTCAGTAACAACTAAACTGTGTAATAGTTGCTTGTACCACTAATTCTTTGCACTCTTCTCTTTTCAGAGATGTCACTGGGTCCTATGTTCAAGCAAAATTTTATAGGCTAAAAGTCTCTTGTGTACCTTTATGGAAAAAAATGACTTTTTCTGGTCAGTATCCCAGCTGTTGGTTTGTATATGTTCCCTAAGGTTTTTGCTTGAATCCAAGAGGATACATATTCTAGTTCAATTCATTCTTTGCTAGCTTTCCCCTAAGCAAATTGGTTAAAATCTCAGGCTTTCTACTTACTTTACTAAATGTGCTTTTTTTAAATAGCAGTTTACTTGCCATGTCGTCTTCATGCAGTGCTTATGAATGTCTTCATTCTAATACCTTGGCTTTTAAAGTTTTATGACTGTGCTTTTTTAGTCTGTCTTTGCATGTGTGCATGTGTCTGATCTACCCTGCAGGTACTGTGATTACTACAGAGTGGTGAGATAGTTATTTTTTTTTTATTTAACACTGACAAAATAATTTGTTTGTGAGGTGTTTTGGCATCCAGTTCCTCTGCTGATCCAATTAACACTACTTTTTTTATCTTTCTCTTTTTTTTCCCCAAAGAAATCATTGATTATCTTTTTGAAAAGAAACTCCCAGAATTTGAAGAGCAGTTAAAAAAAAAGAATAAACACCTTAGGTCTGATGATTCAACAGCTATGCAACAGAAGAAGACTTTTCTACTCAGTGACATTTTTGACTCCAGTGAAGAGGAGGATTAATTGACTGCCCTAGAAGCAATTCCTAGTCTGGATACTTAACTGCAAAATGGATCTGGCTGAGAGTGTGCAGAGATCAACAACTGCAGGTACACAGACTATCTGATACTGGAAGAAATAAAGATATGGACATCTGGTTTTCTCATTTCATATTGAAGACTGAGGTAAATACAGGTTTTGTGCCACCTTTTATTACCTTAATTTAGCTCTGGTTTTAGAAGTCTTCATTTAAGCATCCAAGTTGCTTTCTGAATGTTTTTTTAAACTGTTTTATTTTCTGTGCAGTTTGAAAGCTTCTGTTTACCCTTTGTGCATGAACTTTAAGTAATTACAAAAAAAAAGGAATTGGGAAAAGGCTTTCAATTTGCTTTTAAATCCCCATCAAATCCTAAGACATCTATGTTGATGGAAACACCACAGCTTTAAGTTATTTTTTTAACAGGTAGGATGTTCTCAAAAGCAATTTATTTTCATTTTTGATGCAGACTTAAACTTTTAGCAGCTCTTCTAAATAAAAGGGATTTTTTGTCCGTTCCTGTTCATAAATTGTGATATCATTTCATGCTAACCAGAATGATCAATTTTAAATGTTTTTGTTAATATTTGGAATATAATGACAAAATAGACAATGTATATATACATATATTTTTATTGTGCTAAAGAGGATTTCTACAGTTTAATGATAAAATTAAAGGATACAATGGAGGTTGTAATTGTGTCTCCCTATCATTAACTACCTGCTTAGAGTCATTGTTTGTAAATTGACCAAGTGTAAGTAAAAATAAACAAAAACAAAACCAAACAACCCAACAAACTAAACCTTGCTGCTTGTGTGAAGTGTTTGTATGGGTTGTTTATATTTTCTCTTTTCTGTATTAGAAAGTGATGCAAGAGGACTTGGTCTCTCACATACTACTTTTTGATGTTCATTTTGATAAGTGAGAATTTCCTTCTTTAATAATTGTCATTGAAAATGCAGAACTTTCAATGGCTTGAAATAAAGGCCTTGCTGGATGCTCTTCTGGACTGTGACTTACAGCAAAAAATGTCAAATGAGAACATTCCATATGTAACTGTGCCTGGCTTTAGTCTCTCTGAAGACAGAAAACAATGTGATTTTTGTGAGACAGGCAGGATACCCCAGGAGATCAGCCAGCAGTATAAGGGTAAGTTTTCCAGGCAAGAGATGAAAGCGGGCTGGCAGGCTGTATGTGTGTGTTTGTAAATAGGTACCAGCTCCCTTGCACTCAGATCTTGACTTGCTTCTGTTGCCTTATGGGTTTGAAGGTTAAAAGCTGAAGAAATTGAATTTTTGAATCTAAATGGTTTGTGTTTTTCAGTTTGTCATTGTGGTTTTGGTCTGGTGTTGTTTTTTTTCTGGGAGGTGGAGCTATCCTCTGAATTTTCTGCAGGCTAGAATACAAATGATTGCATGGTTGTAAAATTTGTAGAGCAGACCCCACAGAAATCAGCTTCTGCCTCCATAATGAAGTTTATTTTATCCTTTGCTTTAAAGGGAAACTGTTGCAGGTGAGTGGAATGCACCCCACACAAAAGAGAGAAGCAGCTCTGTGTTTTGTTGAGGTAAAATAACTATTTGACAGAGTTCAATAAATTTGATGGAATTTAACAAAGTTTAACTGGTTTCCCAAGGTTCAATAAGTTTGATGGTGAGGTTCACCTTATTAACTGTGGCACAGAGGAAGCACAGAAGGGAAAACTGAGTTAGAATTGAGTTAGAATGATTCACAGTGTGGAGACACAAAGGGTAAGGAAGAGTCTTCTGTTGAATCAGAAGGTTCTGAATGGACCCCTTTGCTTTCTGAGTTTCTGGTGGAGCCTGCATGTAGCCTTAGTCTCAGACAATCTTTTATGTCTAATGGGATTATCTATACAAAGTTTATAACAATATTGAGTAGCTACATGCATTAGTAATGCTTCATTAGTTTTAGTTCAGCATGCTATCAGTCACTTAGCAAGGATCTGTTCTGAGTAAGGGATCTCTCTGCCTTGGGCAAAGAAGGATCTGTTAATCTTAGGTGAGGAATCCCAAAGCTTGAGCTGCTCCATGCTCAAGGGGAGACTCTCCTGGCCTGCGTGCCAGCTGTAGTTTGGGGAGAGCTCAAACTGGGCCCATCCTGATGGTAATATTTATAGAGTGAAGTAGCTGGCTGCTAGTCAGTAGTATAGACAAGATGGATGCCTTTGGTTTAGCTCTGGTATTTTCTTCTGTACTTTCTGTACCATCTTGCTTTTTGGGGCTTTGAAACCACCTTTTGCAGTGTTTTTCTGAGGCACCTTCACTACCTCTTACGTGAACCAGGAGCTCTCCAGCTCACAGGTACACCACGGGGGATGAGGTTTGTTGCTCCAAAGTATGGCTAGGGCTCAGGTGTATCCATCTCAGAAACTTCTAAAGGAAGGCTCTTGCTGGTACTTGTTAAAAGTAGTTTCTCTGCAAAATACTGTCAGCCAGGGCAGGAACTGTAAACTTGGAGCCATTGCTACACTGGCTGCTTCAGGAAGAACACAGACCTGACCTACAGCACAGGAATAAAGGGAGAGACTGTGTCCCTCCTCCCCATTTCTCCTCCTGGAAACAGCCATCTCTTGGGTAAAGTGGCATCTGTAACCTGTTTGCAAATGGGCAAATAATTGTTTGGAGGAGGACAGGACTTGTCCTGACTTCTCCACTTTCCCATTTGCTGAACAGTGGCACTTGAGAGGGCAGGAGCAAGCAGCTTTTCCTTTTGCCATCATCTTATAAAGGCTCCTGGGAGTGCAGGGAGGGGAGGCAGTTGTTTCATGTGGGTATTTGAATATTATTGAAAACAAAGCAAACTCCAGGCAGAGAGGTTTAAAACAAACAGGCTCCACAGAGTGACGAGGGAAGTAACATTGACAAAGCTTTGTGTATCAGGCTGCATTATAAATAAGAGCATGACAGGTCCTTCAAGTCTAAAAAGCACTGCGAGTCCCCTAAAAACTTTTCAAGCAGATGTGTCGCTTCAAGCATTTTCCTGGTGTGTTAATGGCCTGAATGGTGTTCTAGAAAAAAATTCTTGGCTGTGTCGCATTATCAAAGAGGGAGACAGCCAGGTTACAAGAGTTGTGTTTGCAGCAGAGAAGCACTTCAAAGTTGAGGAGTGTTACGGTGGCAGCAGCTGAAGATCAAACAGGCACTTGCCTTTTTCACCCCCCTCTCCACTGAAGTCTTAAAAGAAGGAGCTGAAGAAAGGCAAATAATCTGTTTGATTCCTCAGAGCCCCCCCAGGCTGAGGGACAGCATTGCCCCTGTGACCTGCAGCATCAGTAGGTGATGAGGGTGAAGTGGCACCCTTCAGCACAGTAGCTTCATCTCAGAGCTGTGAGCAGGGGCAGAACCTTCTGCTGCCTGTTTCAGAGTGCAGGAAGAGGCACAGGGGCTGCTGAGCTGTGTTGGAGTGGTCTCCATTGCATCCTTAGTGTGCAGTAAGAGGGAGTGAGGAAGTTCCTCCTCCCAGGGGTTATTACTTCAGTCTGGCATAATTACTGGAGGTGACTTAGAAATTAAACTGGTATTAAATGTGGGGCATTGTTCCACAGTAAGGAAAGGTATCATATATCAAAGGGGCCTCGAAGGTGGAGTGCAGGCTGAGCTGCTATGCAAGGAATCCACTCCACAGTGGTTCCCTGGACAATGCTGCCTGCAGAACAGCACGGGGGGTGGAGTGGAGACTCTGGCCAGGCTCTGTGATATCATGGCAGAGATGGGAGCTTATGGTGCTATCAGAACTGGTAAGCTGCATATTTACCACCTTGGGCCCAAAATCTGTCACTTTAGGACAAAATGTTGTCCTCTGTCTGAATTTTGCTCATTCTAATCTCCTAATAATCCCCAAACACACCTCCCTGCCAAAGGCTACCTGCCTGCCAAGTGTGACTAGCCCTCTCTGAGCCTGCGCCCGAGTTTTTCTTGTACCTTTAAAAGCAAAGTGAGGAAATTTTACCCCAATCATGACAAAAGTATGTATGACTGGAATCACTCCAGCTCCACCCTGAAGGTAAAAGATTGTATAAACATGGCTTTAAAGAGGAGGAATGTTGGGGAAGATACCACCATGGGCAAGGCAGGGAAGATTCCATCACAAGCCACCTCTGATTTCTGGGATTGGTTGACAAGCTGACATCCCCATAGGCACCTCTTTGGGTAAGATCCAGACTATACCAAGTGCTTCCTTGGGGAAACACAGGAATCTCCACAGAGTCGTTTTGATTGTTTTTTTTTTAACTTAACACTTTTGTAGCCAGACTGTTATTTGTAATCTTATATTTGCACGTGATTTGTGCAGGCAGTGTATTTATCACTGATGATCCATAAGAACCTGCACTTGTGTTGCTTAAATAAACTGCACTGTTCCTGTAGCTAGCCCCAGAAGTTTCTCACTGGGCACCACCAAACTCTTTAGGTCTGGCCACGTGAGTCTGGAGTGTGACCAGATGGAAGGTGCAGTGTGCTATTGGTGCATCTGTCTTTGTGATAGTTCAATATATTGAACATGACCAGACTTACAGGGCCAAATTTGATATCATTCAGAATCAAAGTCCAGCCACTCCCAGCCCCTCTGGTATCTGAGGACAAGCTGGAGCACAAGGGGGTTTATTTTCTGCC